CAACATTCACAGCCTTCCAAAAAACTATTTCAAATTCCTCAAACTCCATTCCTGATACCACATACCAGCCTGTCATGTATCCTTCCCAAACGCCCCGCGTCACACCATCAGGCTCAGTGTTCCCATTTAATAAAACACACATTTAGCCTCCGTCTCAATCCATCACCCACCCACCCTGACTTACATGGTAACATTACAACTTCCCTCGTTTAAACCAATCACACGTGAACCCACAAAAAATTTGTACACCCGTCTTAGAATCCCGCAATCGCTGTCCCTGTAATGGGACACAGCTGCAACTTGCCAAACCTGATATCAATAAATATTTACGACTATCTCTGCTGTATAAGAATTAGGTGCTGGGGCTCAGAACACCTAGACCGACCCACGATCCTTTCCAATAAACTATCCGAAGTTTTCCTCCCCGCGCCGCAACAATGTCATCCTTATAAAAAATAAAAAAAAAAAAAATTATACCACAAATCATTAAAGACCCCTCCCATTCTTTAAACAACATTACATCACCCCCACACCCCACCCCAAGAAAACCAAAACCCCTGCTTACTTCGCACTATTTACCTTGCATTACCCGTGGCACTTCCAAATAAATTGCACCATCCTCGTCCAACACTCCCATGACATCCTTCACGAATGAGAACAGTGGTGTCGTAACATATCCAATTTAACCCCGGGCCAGGCCTCCCACCCCCCACCCTTCCCTCACATGGTCGTACAGAAGATACGGTCAACCATTCTATAAAAAGGGGTCTTGAAACACGCAAACAATATTTGGGACATGGGGCATCCCTGTCTTAAGGCTCTACCATTGCAATTCCTCCCCATACACATTTAATCTGTATCCTCATTTACGCCCCCCTTGTACAAAAACGTAATTTACCATCGACTATTTCCTCCCAAAACCCTGTCTCCTAAGTATAACTGCAAAGCTCCCCTTTCTACTATCATATGCACCCTGCCAATCTAGAGCCAACAAAAGCCGCCCTCCACCCCCCCTTAGCTTCCACAAAACTTCTCAGTATCCCATGTCCTTAATCATCGACCTTCGGGAAACCAAACTGAGATTTTGGACACCACCCTCCCACAACACATTTGAACCTAATTACCTAAAATTTTTGCAACACTTATAGTCTGACAACATCAGTGATATGGCTCGGTACTCCCGAAGGTTGGGCTGCCCTTGACCCTTCGGGACCAAACTACAACTGCTGTTACCTGCTTCCTCCCCAACTTACCCATCTCCTTCATACGATAAAATAACCTAACTATAAATTCCTTTGTCAACGTCAATGTTGTAAATAAAATTCTACGGGAGACCGTCAAATACCGGGAGCTTTCCCTTCTCATTCCCTTAACGCATTCTTCTTCTCCTCTGGCCGTTACTAGTCCCACCTAAGCCTTTCGATCCACTATTTCCTAAATTACACGTCACATACGTACACACTTGTCCAACGCCACGTCACCCCCCCCCCACTGTTCCAGTACTCTCCGTACCAAGCTCGCATACGCACACAATCCCCTTCGTGGTTCGGTATCTTCCTGCCCTACTCTATATTCCCAACCATCTCCGTTACTCTAAACATGGTATAGCTGTCACGCCTGCCCTTTGCTTTTGATGCCGCAAAACACGTGACGGCTTGTCGCCCAAAGCACGTCATCCACCCCTGCCTGCACCCTTACAGCTTGAACATTTCATTTTGCAACACCCTCAACCATTCACTTTATTTAGTATTTCATCAATAGAAAATTATCCCACCCCACCCCTCCCATAGCAACCTACTTAACCTATCCTCTAAATAGTTAGCCAGTCCATATTTTAAAATTATTATACGTTTTTCCCTTTCACATAAAACATTCTAATCCTTACCTTTGCGACAATATCCCACATTGTCACAAGGTCATCCACTCCCGTTCTTCCAACTAAGCTCCACCATAGGACTGAAAACCCCGTCATCACCTAACACACTGTATATTTGATTTCAATAACTTCTATATATGTCGCGAGCGTACCACCACCCAACTCCACCACCATGCCTATGATCAGACTTGTAGCTCAACAGTTAATGGAATAGATTTCAATCCACTCCTGAGAAAGGTACACTATTAGTCTCGCAGCATATATCACTCATAACAAACGTATATTCGTCTCCACACGCCCCCCCAAAGGCATCACGTAAACCTAACATCCCTTAATAAATCCCTAAGGCACAGACATATATCCAGGCCCCCTCTTGGGTCCACATCAGCCACCTGATTACACTTTCCAGGTCCCACCAACTATCGGCCACCTCTGGCAGTGCACCTTAGGAAAAACACCAAGATCCTTAACACAAAATCATCTTTACCTTTATGTTATTTTCAGCGGCGCAAATACACACTCACAAAGACACTCGCTTACATCCACACCATCCACACGCAACACCCTCCCTCCCCCTCCTCCCTCGCTTCTCTGCAAAAACAAACGGAACTAACTGTCTTCGTTATTAAATTCCCACACCACCTTTTAGGGGGCGATGGCAGGGTAACTACTCGAAATCCTGCACCTCCAACCCTACCTCTTTGAAATTGTGCTCCTGCAGGACACAACATCCGTGCTCTAGGATTTAGTCAGAAAAATGACGAAACCAATTCGCTTCATACCGCTACATAACCATTAAACATTTACTGAACTTACACCTAAGGCCTATGAAAGTTTCCACCTGCTTCCTCTATCACTCTTTACAACTCCAGAGCTTGGAATTTACGTTCGACACTTCAGAGTGCTCTCTTTCCTCCCCCCTTCTTCCGGTGCCTCCTATCATGGCGGCTACAACACCTACACCACTACCTTCACTCTTCCACCTCAGTCTGTTTCCCAGGTCTTTGTGAAGCATAAGGACGTCATCAGAAGCTGATGTAGTCTCCCTCTTTCTCGTGACAGCATGTTACAAATGTGGTCAGATGTTACCTCTCGATGAACTCCACCCTCCACCTGAGAATGGTTTTAATGATTCAATGACGACTCCAAACCACCATCACGTCCAAATTATCATGTCTCCAGACTTTCTGATGCGACGATTCTCCGATGACACACGCTCCAGATGTAAACGTCCTCTCTGGCGGTGAAAAGTCTTCAACCACCTCCACCAATTCCTTTCCTCAATCTCAGGAACCTTTCTGTACTTGCTTGCTTCCTGATCTACAGGAGACGGACACCTGATCAGGCAGCTGGGGCGGGACTCAACTCACCGCCAGTCCTGTGTGCCCGATCCCCTATCTCGCTCCCACAGAACACCACGCCCTCCATCCGATGTTTGTTCTCACCCTCATGCCACCTTTGAGCAGGGCTGCAACGTCCACCACAGGTCCAGGCACATGTCTTCGTTGTACAGGTCGCCCGCAAGTGATCATACTCACACATGGCGGCACGTACGTCGTTGTCTGGGTACATTACCATTACCTGCATCCTGAAATTCTTGCAGCATACACATAGGATGGTATTGGGGTGCCTCAAAGTCATTTTGAGGTTGAAGAACCCTCTGGAAAACCAGCTAGGTCTGCCGCCCACGTACCATGTTGGCATAATGTCACCGTCCATAATTCTCAAAAACTTTCCTTATATCCGCCTCGTCCGCCTCAAAGGGAACGTTGCGTATCTTGATCCACGTATAATGCCGTGAAACATCTATCATTCTTACACTGACGCTGGTATTGACGTTAAGATCACGTCCTGAAACTACTGGTGACTAACAATTCATAAACGTTGCTGATAGGTAGTTTGACGGAAAATTCTTGTCCTCCGTTCAATGTACACCATACAAGTCATTCTTGAACGCCATAAGTCTCCGGTGATCTTTGGCAATAAGACTTGCGCAGAACTGGGCGTTATCGTTCCTTTAAAGTAGCTCAATGCCCACAGTATTTATCCTTCGTCTCAGACTAACGCCATCTTGACAATCCACAGTGCACCTAAGTTGTTAAGCCGAGGTGTGACGGCACCATTCACACCACTGCGCCAGGTACTGACAAGGGAGCTCGCCTAGACAAACGCAGAGGGTTGCAGAGCAACAATCCGCACTCTACCGTGGACACGGCGCGAATGATGAACCACGGGACACTCACTGTGAGATAAGATTTTCTTCGGATTTTTAACCGAGGATAGTCACCCAGATACACAGGTAAGATAGTGCGTGTGCGTCATCGAGTACTGTTACTTGCGTGGCAACCCAGCCATGCAAGTAACCTTATTTACACACGATAACAGGGGCAACATCTATTTGGTGTGTTGTCCCTAAATCTCACATGTAATTATAGTTAGTTTAATATGTTTATTATGCACCTCATACCCATCCTGTGGGCGGTAGTCAAAAGATTACAGAGGTACATAACTAGTCCAGGGACTGGACTCCAAAGTTTTGATAGCTGAACAAGTTACAAAGGTAATGAACTAGATCTGGTCACCATCATGACAAGTTACAAAGGTAATGAATCATAAACACGTCCGTACATGGTTACAATAATGAACAAATTACAATTTGTGAGCAATTAAACATTCTAGAGAATGCGACATTGCCCCAACAACAGATGTTGCTAGGTGCCTGCCCCTCCTCGGCAGGACAGCCATTGCAAACAGCAGCAGGTTTGCGCATGGATCTGCTTTGCGGGTCGCACCAGCGACCCTCCCAAGAGGTAGAGGACTCCGCTATCGACCGAGGTCGAGCTGCCTGGGGAGTGTCAATGTCCGGTGGGAAGCCAATTTCATTGCTGATCCCAGGTCTCTGTATTGAGGTTTGAGCGCTGTCACTCTGTCTGCTGGGTGGGATGTTGGTTGTTCCCACCCGAGTTCACACTGTATATATAAATTATTTTTTTATTATTATTATATATATCTGTATAGGGGGTTTAATAAGGCGTAAACATCAGTGGCCTTTAACAACGCTAACACCAACCCAGGATGTGACAAAATAAAGCAATATAGGTTATTAAGTTATAGTAGGTCCTTAGACAAGATTAAGGTTTTACAATATCTGTATAGTAACATATGTGTATATTACCTAGGGTAACCCACTGATGTCAAGCTAAGTAACATATTTCTGTGTGTACGAAGAAAGGTGTGTGTACATGTCACCATGGACAAGCTCACCATCATCTCGGGCCTCTGTTCCTCGCCGCTGGACATTTCGCCGTCGTAGTGAGCCTCCGGCATGCACTGACTGGATCGTCTTTTTTCTGACATCGCGAGGTGGGTGCAAGCAGATTGTTATAATTTGTGTGTTAAAATTCTGGGGATTGGTCCCTGCGATTTAGCGCTACCCATTCTTTTATGGTCTTAAAAGTATAATGTTAAATGGGGAAGTGTCAGTTTTGTTCGGGCTGTGCAGTACTTTGTGGGGGAAGAAGGTAATTCGTTTATATCAAGGAAGGTTTGTTAGTCATATTCATTGGATCAAGAACCTTTTAGCCAAGCATCAGGTTCTCCCCCCTTTTTCCCCACCGAAGAGGGGAATTAAGTTTTTTTTTTTTTTTTCATTTTCTTATTAACCTATGTAATAAATGAAGCATATTTTGTTCAGATTATTAACCCAGAAAAATTTTTTTTAACTCCAGAGGGTTAGCTACCTAGAATAACCTACAAAAGTCAGTGCATCATCGAGGACTGTCTTATTTTCATTGGGGTCCTTAAATCTTGTCCCCCAGGATGCGACTCACACCAGTCGACTAACATCCAGATACCTCCTTACTGCTAGGTGAATGGGACAGCAGGTGTAAGGCAACAAGCCCAGTGTTTCCATCCTTGCCAGGGATCAAACCATGGACACTCAGCGTGTGAGGTAAGAGTGTTGCCTACTAGGCCATGGGACACCCCCTGGATGTAATCCCAGGATGACCCAACAAAGCCACTATTATCAGGTCTGGCATATTTCAGTTGGAGTTCTTCAGTTCTCTTCCCAGGCTGGTGATCTCACAACAGTTAGCTAACACCCAGGTACCTAGTTACTACAAGGTGAACAGGGGCAACAGGTACAAGAAAATGTGCTTGACATTTCCTGATTTGAGAGCTGAGGCTGCTACCAGTTGAGCCACGATAGCATGGATTTTTATGCTGGCTTTGATGATGTGCAAACATGTCACACTGTTCAGAGCATCCTTAAAATTCCCCCATAATCCTTTATTGGGGATGTTTGTCTTCATCCTTTTTTGTTTGCTGTAGTGGAAAGGATCATAGGACCCCGATGGACATAGTGGGCTTTATGGCTTATTCTGGGTGGCAACCCTTTGGGATAATAATCTGAATGAAATCTTTTTTCTTCTACCTCTGTTTGCATAAAATGTTCACTTTGTAATGCTGCACGTGATGAGATGCCAGATTACAAATTTATAGACAGCACAATCTGTGCAACCCAAACCACCATAGTACAACAGGCCCTGGCATGTTATAACCGCTTGAACCAACTATGCTTTACAATGTGCTGGCACACCACAAAGAAGAAGATATTGGGTATTTATAAACCTGTGCTACAACACAATATTGACATTTTTAAATAAATATGATTGTGTTTTCAGGTGATACTCGACTTGGCCTCCTGTCAACATGTGAGACGCTCTACAATAGGTCGCAGGTAAAGAAAGAACCACGGCTCATATTTGTGTTATCAGAGCAACAATATTATCACTTTATTATTCGCATACTTCTTTTAGTGAAGGTTTAGATAGATTATAGCACTGTACTGCAGTTTCTTTGTTGCTATTCATAGAAAATTGTTAGGTAATACTGCACAAACACTGTGTGTATAGTTTATATATATATATGTCATGATGAGTAGGTGAAACTTGTGATTTTTGCTTAAATAGCAATGCTCTTCTTACTGAATAAGATAAGTGAAAATTTGTGTATGCAGTAATTTCACAAAAATCATTCTGAACCTAGCAAAAAAAATATATTTCATTTTGTTTGTTTATTATTAAATTATTGTAAACTTATCTAAAATATATTTAGTTGGATTAAGCTAAATAAAAATTGGGGCTTGTCAAGAGCACTTCAATATTACATTACATTAATTGCTCGAGTCGAGCGCTGAAATGAAACTCGGGGTACACTGTATATATAGTTATTTTTTTTTTTTTTTTTTTTTTCAACAAGTCGGTCGGTCTCCCACCGAGCAGGGTTATATAATTTATTTATTTATTTTATTTTTTTCCTTTAGGTGTGCTATGCTCAGCTCTCGGGAGGGGCATGGCTGGTATCGTGGGTTGTGTGCTACTAGGGTGCGTGTGTGCACTGGCCACTATTTTATATTACTGCACTGTCGCACTGTCGACGTTAGTGTACTGTCAGACATATGCTCGATGGGTGGGGTTCTCTGCTAAGTAAGTGTATGTTCTCTTAAACCTTTTTTTGGGAGGTTTATGACAAGAAATAATTCATGATTTTAACAATATTTTCCCCCCTCTCTTTTGAACCCTGTATTTGAGATTTTTGGGTACCAAAATGTAGTAGGTAATGTGCTATGATGTGACTAGAAGACCTTTTAGTCAGTTGAAAAATGGTGTGCCATATTATGCCTAAAAATGATAACCTTTATGAAATCTTTAAATGTCTCCAGTTTTCAGTACATTAGACAAAGAATCTTCTATACTGAGAACTAAAGATTTTAGGGATTTGTATTCCCTTCAAGGGGGGGGGCTTACTTTGTTACTAGTAAAGGTCTCTTGATCCAGTGAATTGGAGCTCTCCTCCCCTTCCTTGGATTGAACCTAATTAACTGCCACATTCTTCCTCTTTCCCCATGAATTTACAGAGCAACCCTGTAATTCACAATTTGTGGGAGTTGAGTTCCCAGAGCTGATATAAATCCTGAAACTGTAGATAAAAGAAGAATTTGAGGTTCATATAGTATAAACATTTCTTGCTATATTTCTTTAAATATTGCTCAAATCTACATATACATGTATTATGTTTAATAAGAGGGAGTGAACCAGTTAATTCATGTTTAGTTTCAATTTATGGATCATGTATCAAGCAAAAAAAAAAAAGAAAAGAGTTGATACAGCTCCTGAAAAGAGGCAAAAACATTTGCCACAATAAAAAAAATGGGCACCTAGAAATATCAGAAATAATCAAAGGTGCCTGTAACATCACCTTCGGTAGAAATGTAATACTGTAATTAAATTCATGGATTATAAAACACCCGTATTCTAGAGTTCAACTAACATATTTTGTAATATGATACATTAACAGATTACAAATTATTCATTGTTTGGTGTTGGCTGTAATACTTGGCTTAGTGAAATACTATTACAGTATTCTTGCAGTGATTTATTTTATGATATAATGGGAAGTACAACAAAATTGTAAATTTTTGAAGTAAATTATGGTATATTTCTTAAATTATGATTTACTTACATGAATTAAAACATAATGAGTTTAATACAAAGTGGGATTTGTCACAGTTGTTTTTTGCCAATATCATGATTCTTTTGGGAATGTCTGAAGGAGAGCTGCAAAATCTGGTAGATGAATGTGGGAGGGTATGTATAAGAAGAAAATTAAAAGTGAATGTGGGAAAAAAAAACAAGGTGAGAGAGTTAACAAAAATTTAGGCACTGAAAACCTGGATAGCAGATCGAGGGTGTACTGAGGAAGTAAATGTGTTTAGATATTTGGGGGTAGACTTGTTGGCAGACAGATCTATGAAAGATGAGGTGAACCATAGAATTGGCAAGGGAAAGAAGGTAGGTGGTGCATTGAGGCATCTGTGGAGACATAGAACCTTATCTATGGAGCCAAAGGGAAATATACCAGATTATAGTAGTACTAACTCTGCTGTATGGGTGTGAAGCATGGGTTTTGAATGTTGCAATGAGGAGGAGGTTGGGGGCAGTGGAGATATCATATTTGAAGGCAGTGTTTGGCATGAATATTATACAGATAAGTCACAGCTTGGAGGAATAGAAGGTGCAGGATAATCAAAAGGTAATTTATTCAAAGGTGAGGAGGGGGGAGACTAGAGGGGGTATAAATCTTGGGTAGATGAAGGAGGGTTGGGGTTCATCCCAGCAGAGTTGGAGGGAGGGGTTTAAGGGAGTTTTGGTTTGGTGCTAAGGGCCTGGGGACATCCATAGTGTTGTGTGTGAGCTTGTTAGTAGGCGTAGAGGGCAATTAGCTTTTTTATGATCTGACAAGCTATTGGAGTGTGAGCAGGTGACATTTTCTAAGGATTAGAGTAACCAGTAGCCAGACTTGGAGTCCTGGGAAAGTGATAAGTCAATTCCTGCTCACTGAGTAGAGGTGGAAATGTGAAAGTTTTAGAGGTTACCTGAGTTGTGATGTCAGCTTTTCTTCTGGCAAGACAGTGAATTAAATGTATGAAGGTTGAAAGTGTTTCCCTTTTTTGGGTCATCCTTATTTTTCGTGAAAGATGGCTGTGAATTTGAAAAAATGGAGTGTGTAACCCAAGTACAGTGAAAAAAAAAAAAATTTAATTTTTTTATATTTCAACAAACTGGCCGTTATTCCCACCGAGCAGAGGTGGCCCAAAAAAGCAAAAACAAAAGTTTTTCTTTTCAAATTTTAGTAATTTAAACAGGAGAGGGTTTTACTTGGCCCCTTGCTCCGGCATTTTAGTCGCTCTTACAACTCGCATGCTTATGGAGGAAGAATTCTGTTTCCACTTCCCATAGAGATAGAGGATGGAAATAAAACAGAATAGAGAGAAAATTGCAGAAAACCCAGAGGGGTGGTGTTATATTATATGGTGTACAATGTATGTGTAGTGTGACATAAGTGTAAGTAGAAGTAGCAAGGACATACCTGAAATCTTGCATGGTTCATGAGGGACAGAAAAAAGGACACCAGGGAATCTACATCATTGTAGACAATTACAGGCTTTAGTTTTACACTCCACTTGGCAGGACGGTGTACCTCCCTGGGTGGTTGCTGCTCGACAACCTACTAACCTAGGTTGTGAAGCTAGATATGCTAATTAAGTCACACACTCATTCTAAGCTGCTGACATACACACCTACTCACTGATACCAATCCCACCTCACTCTACATCTAATCCTACCCCAACACAGATTAAACCTCAGAACAAACTTCAAACATCAATTACTCACTTTAATATTTTTAATATTTTTTAATATTTTTAAATTTATGGAACCTCTTTTAGTTGGTCATACAGTGTGTTACTTGCTGTAATTTATAGCTGAAACTACTAGACATTCAGATTTACTGATCGTGAGTAATTTGTTACTGGTAATAGATTTCAGTAGTACAGGATTTATATACAAGTGGTCCTAAACTTCAAAACAAGTTGGATTCCTGGGTTTTTTAAATTTTAAATGAATTGTTTGTATAAAAAATGCAATAGATGGTAATGTTTCATGCATTTATTCTGTAGCTTAACAGCTATCAAGCATAAATTAGTTACTAAATGCCTTGTTTATAAGTGCAGATGGCTGTAAATTGAGGCCATTGTAAGTGGGAATCCCCCTTGTATTAAAGAAAGGACAGTTCTTTCTTGCAAATTGGTGCTTATGATAAACTTATTGTACACAATTCCCATTGATTTGTGTATATAACAGCTCATCACTCATTTTTTTGATAATGTTTTGGTTGTATTTCATTTGACAAAATTACTTTTGATATCTTTATGGTAGTGTTCTAGGGCTCAGGAGAACTTGTTGGCACGACATGATGCAAGAACGTATCCAAACTGTGTATAATGCAATGGCTATATTTTCCATGATAAATATATGTACAGTGCAACAGATTTGTGCATTGTAGTACTGTAGGATGTACATTTTCAGTGGTGCTGTTTTGCCTGGCTGCAGTTGTGTTCCCAATGGGCTTTTATGTAGAGGAAATTGGAGGTGAACCTTACCAGCTGCCCAACAGTTTTCAGGTATGTTAAATTTATCTTTCAATTGATGGGTATAAAAAAATGAGTAGACAATGGTACAATATATAAGAAATAATAATTATTGTTGGTGTTTTGTATTTTAATGATGCACTGGAGATTTTTGGGAACTATTTTATTGTGTGTGTGTTCTTCATTTCATTATAATAGCTATGACACAAATTTTCAAATCTTAATTTAAATAACATTATTGCACTTTTTCTCAAAACCATGTGCAGTCAACCCTTGAACAACATGGGTGTGAACTGTGTGGATCCACTTATACACTGATTTATTTTCAGTAAATATACTGGAAAATTTTTTGAAGATTTGCGACCGAAAGAATTAAGAAAAAGTTAGGCATGTCATGAATGCATAAAATATATGTAGTACTGGTATATTTGTCAGATACTACCATAAAATATACACAAATCCACAATTTTTTTCTATTAATACGTTGGCCGTCTTTCACCAAGGCAGGGTGGCCTGAAAAAGAAAAACTTTCATCATCATTCACTCCATCACTGTCTTGCCAGAGGTGTGCTTACGCTACAGTTATAAAACTGCAACATTAACACCCCTCCTCCAGAGTGCAGACACTACTTTCCATCTCTATGACTCAAGTTTGGCCTGTCGGTTTCCCTGAATCCCTTCATATATGTTACCTTGCTCACACTCCAGCACGTCAAGTCCTAAAAACCATTTGTCTCCATTCGCCCCTATCAAACATGCTCACGTATGCTTGCTGGAAGTCCAAGCCCCTCGCACACAAAACCTCCTTTACCCCCTCCCTCCAGCCTTTCCTAGGCTAACCCCTACCCTGCCTTCCCTCTACTACAGATTTATTCACTCTCAAAGTCATTCTATTTTGTTCTGTCTTCTACATGTCTGAACCACCTCAACCTCAGCCCTCTGGATAATAGTTTTGGTAATCCTGCATCTCCTCCTAATTTCCAAACTAAGAATTCTCTGCATTATATTCACACCACACATTGCCCTCAGACATGACATCTCCACAAATCTATTGTAAAAAGTTAAAATTTATCAAAACATAAACACACACAATTACAGATCGTACATGTTCCATTCACAGTCCAGAGCAATGTAAACAAATGTAAAGATGCAATAATATAATAATAATAAAAATAATAATAATAATAATAATAATATATTATTACAGATCGTACATGTTCATTTGCAGTCGAGAGAAATGTTAACAAATGTAAAGATGCAATATAATAACAGCCTCTCCTCACTTAGCGACGTACTCGTTTACTGACACCTCAGACTTATGATGGGCTCTTTGACCAGCATTCATATCTAAATATTAAAGCTGATTTCCTCTGTACTATTTATTTCAATATACAGTGGTACCTCGAATTTCAAACAGCTCCCAACTTGAACAATTATGTAACTGTATTTTTGTAAGTACTTTTGTAAGTGTATTTTTGGGGGTCTGAAATGGACTAATCTAATTTACGTTATTCCTTATGGGAACAAATTCGTTTTGTAACGGGACTCGAACAGCCTTTTGGAACGAATTTTGTCCGAAATTCTAGGTACCACTGTATAGTACACTACATTGAGTACAAGAAACCACCCATTTATCTATATCAACTACCCATAAAGTGGTTAGAAATTGGTAATTTGGCCAATTTCACACAAATTTCAAGAAATGCCAATTTCAAAATAGGGTCCAGAATAAACAATGCAGACATTCCTGGCACTAAAATAACATTTTCTCTGTTCATTAGTCACATCTCCAAGCCCCACTTATATTACTCTTGCTTTCCATTTTGAATTTTTATTCACACACAAAAAAGATGATTTACTGTTATGCAGACTACTGCATTATTGTAATAATTGTTTAAATAATGTTGTGCAAGAAAGGTATAAAATACCGAAAATATGAAAGTTAAGACACATATCCAACATCTGGATATTTTTATTGTAGACGTTTCTCCATCCAGTGGCTTTATCTCTTTTGGTAGGACCTACTTTCACTGGGGAATCCCACCTACCAGTGACTATGCCCTCGTCTGCTACACGTCCCTATCCACTGACGCCTACATAACCGCCAGTCTCCTTGCCTTTACACCAGATTCTCCACCACCATGGTGCTCTCAACACCAACTCCAAGGCTGAGGGACTGATTACCTCATCTTTTGTATATAGTTCTACTGTCTTCTAATTATGTCCTAGAATCTGTATTGATAAAGCCACTGGATGGCAAAACATCTACAATAAAGATATCCAGATGTTGCACATGTGTCTTTAACTTTCAGGAGCAGAGCTATCCTTGTTATTGTAGCTAAAGGAGCAGAGCTATTTTTCTGACTGTAGCTACAGGAGCAGAGCTATCCTTGTGATTGTAGCTTCAGGAGCAGAGCTATCCTTGCTATTGTAGCTACAGGACCAGAGCTATTCTTGTGACTGTAGCTACAGGAGCAGAGCTATCCTTGTGGTTGTAGCTACAGGAGCAGAGCTATCCTTGTGACTGTAGCTATAGGAGCAGAGCTATTCTTGTGACTGTAGCTACAGGAGCAGAGCTATCCTTGTGATTGTAGCTACAGGAGCAGAGCTATTCTTGTGATTGTAGCTACAGGAGCAGAGCTATCTTTGTTACTGTAGCTACAGGAGCAGAGTTATTCTTGTGATTGTAGCTACAGGAGCAGAGCTATCTTTGTTATTGTAGCTACAGGAGCAGAGTTATTCTTGTGACTGTAGCTACAGGAGCAGAGCTATCTTTGTTATTGTAGCTACAGGAGCAGAGCTATTGCCATGGTTGTAGCACTTACACCTCTTTTTGTATTTCATTCTGGTGTTTTCCCATAATCTTATTTAATGCTTTTGGTTTTAATCCATTTTTTTTACCACCTCAGTCATTTCCCACCAAGGCAGGGTCTGCCAGGCATATGCTTTTTTTTTTTTGTTTTTTTTTTTTTTGTTTTTTTACTTGCATGAGCATTTGTAATCCAAAACTTTAAAGACAGAAAAGAAACAATAGATTAAGAGAGCTGTATATTTTGGCATCTGAGACCCTCTTCAGAGATCTGTACATGATTCTTCTTCTCTGTTGTTTCTTTTATGTCTCCATATGTGCTTTGGATTACAATGATATTGGCAGTTTGGAGGGATATGTTGTGTATCTTTATACGTATATGCTTCTAAACTGTTGTATTCTGAGCACATCTGCAAAAGCAGTGATAATGTGTGAGTGTGGTGAAAGTGTTGAATGATGATGAAAGTATTTTCTTTTTGGGGATTTTCTTTCTTTTTTGGGTCACCCTGCCTCGGTGGGAAACGGCTGACTTGTTGAAAAAAAAAAAAAAAAAAAAAAAGTGCTTTGGATTACAATGGCTAGGTGTTTGACACTCAGGTTGTACAAACACATGTTTGGTTTTTGGCATGTGGATGAAATGTTCATCTGAGCGTGAGATTTGACAAGTTACTTCAGTTTTAGATTATTAATGATATTTTGTAATTTTTCCAGGTTGGATACTCTTACATCTTTTTTGTCCTGGCGCTGTGGATGACAGTGGTGTCTGAGTTATTTGCAGGAAAAGTTTGTCTGCCTCACTTTTAAGTCACATAATGACTTATGTGGTTCTTTTGTATAATTTGATTGGGAACTACCAGCACCTTCATTTTGTATAGTTATTTCTACAAGTCTTTATAATTTATTGTACTGTACTACATGTTTATGAAGATTATATTTTTTTACACAGCTGGTAGTGATATTACTTGCATCCTTGGTATCAGAACTCTAGTATAGTTTTATTCACAAATATTACTCTGTGACCGGTTCAAATAGCTACTCAGTAATTGTTTTTTCAGTTTTCTTCAGCAAGCAGCAGTTTCCAGTTACAATAATTCATCATTTGTCATTATCTGGTTGAATATCTGTACTTGTAACTATAACTGTTTATTTTGTCATTGATTAAAGCTGTCTAAAGAGTAGATATGACAATATAGTGTCATGAGATTTCTTCTATGAAGTCCAGTAATTTTGGGCTCTCTCATATACTTTATACCTGATAGTATACTTGCAGATTAGACAGTACTGTACCTTAATTTCACTGACGTGTAGCTAAGTCATATTTCATTCTGTATACAGTACTGTATATGTGGGTGTAGTGTTTGTGTGTATATTGTACATACATATATGAATCATCCTTACTTCACATGGCAAGACACCTTTAGCACACCTCATTTATAGATACTGACCTGTACTTGTTACCAACAGGTCTAAGTTCATAACAGAAGTTTAGTGTAATTTCTATTTTCCATGAATGTTTCTTCCTGGGGGCTGTATGTTGGGTTGATTATGATGGAGAACAAAGGTACCCCACCCAAGATCTATATAATAATATACAACTTTTTTTTTTTTTTTTTTTTTTTTCTCAACAAGTCGGCCGTCTCCCACCGAGGCAGGGTGACCCAAAAAAGAAAGAAAATCCCCGAAAAGAAGATACTTTCATCATCATTCAACACTTTCACCACACTCACACATTATCACTGCTTTTGCAGAGGTGCTCAGAATACAACAGTTTAGAAGCATATACGTATAAAGATACACAACATATCCCTCCAAACTGCCAATATCCCAAACCCCTCCTTTAAAGTGCAGGCATTGTACTTCCCATTTCCAGGACTCAAGTCCGACTATATGAAAATAATAAATTTTATTGAAAAACAATTGTAACTAATGTTATGTTCTGGCAGTAATAAAAAATTACAAGACATGTCATGACACCACATGGTACATAGATTGTAGGGACGGCACGTATTATGTGTGGTTCTTGCTTTCTAAAAGTAGTGGATGATAGTTGACTTTGTCAGTTATCTGGAATAATATAATGTACACATTCTTGATTTGGTGAAGACTGTAATCAGCCCTTATCATCTGTGTCATGGGAAATAATCAGATTGTTTTATGAAGAAATTCTACACTGCTCTCACCCTATACTTTAGGGGGCCTGTGCCCCCCTCCCTAAAAACATACTTTATTTGAAAGTACTGGTTAGTTAAGTGGTGGATAATACCAGTTCCATTTTATTAAGCTAGATGGAAGTTACTCTGAATATATAGCTATTGAATGACAACCAAAGTTACACTTAGCTAGGCAGCTAATGGGTTAGCAAATATAATAGAAAAAAATTATTTATATATATAAAAAATATTTTTTTCATAACATGTTGGCCACCTTCCCCAAGATGGAGTGTCCAGGAAAATACACAAATAACTCATACGTAGGAAACAAACTTATGACGATGCTTCAGTCCAAGTCAGACCGAGAGGTCATCATAAATTTCAAGTCTCGAGACCTTTGTGCGGGTTATTCATGTATTCTTGTCTTTATTTATTGCAAGACCTGTTAAATACTTATAATAGGAAAAATGGTAGAATAACGAAGTACTGTACATATTTGAAATTTAGATATTTACTTTTCGCTTCACACAAAATGTAAGCTATATATTATTTCTAAAGTTTATTAGCAATTAGTATATGGTAGTTTTTTCTTATCCATTTTTATGGACTGTGTCCATCATATTTTTTTGAACGGTGCAATTCAAGTGGTTACAGTTTTTCACAGTGCTGCTGTTTGATTTTGTAGGGGGATGCACTCCCTGATATTATAAGCATGCACTTTGGATATATTTTTATTAATGCTTCAGTGACCAAATATTCAGTGCTGTCATATGGAAACACTGTAGCTTCTGGTGATTTTCTTATCTACTTTGGTCATGCAAGCCAAAAATATGTTAATTTCTTTTTGCTTATGATGTGTTGCACCAGACAAAAGAATGCTTAAATAATGTATTTTTTTATTTTTACACTTTGTTAATTTTTTTTTTTCAACAAGTCGGCCGTCTCCCACTGAGGCAGGGTGACCCAAAAAGAAAGAAAATCCCCAAAAAGAAAATATTTTCATCATCATTGAACACTTTCACCTCACTCACACATAATCATTGTTTTTGCAGAGGTGCTCAGAACACAACAGAAGCATATACGTATAAAGATACACAACATAGCCCTCCAAACTGCTAATATCCCAAAACCCCTCCTTTAGAGTGCAGGCATTGTGCTTCCCATTTCCAGGACTCAAGTCTGGCTATTTAAAAATAACCGGTTTCCCTGAATCCCATCACTAAATATTACCCTGCTCACACTCCAACAGATCGTCAGGTCCCAAATACCATTCGTCTCCATTCACTCCTATCGAACACGCTCATGCACACCTGCTGGAAGTCCAAGCCCCTCGCCCACAAAACCTCATGGTTACTTATTCTTTGCCTTAACTTTAAGATCTGACTCATCTTACTTGTTCAGTATCATTTACTGCTTTTACTGGACACTCCTACCCAGCCTGCATGTAAGTACTGTATATTATAGTGACAAACAGCATCTTTCTCTTAAATAACAAAAAGGAGCATTTGTGGCTTAGGAAAAGACTTAGGACACTGTGCATATTGGAGTGATGTGGCAATTGTTGCAAAGGTAATGAATAGGTAAAGAGGTGTTAAAAGCTGTAATGAGTTTTTAAAGATATTGAGACTTGTCATAAAGAAAGAGTATTTTCCAGAAAAAGTGGGTCTTAGGCAAGAATATGTGACTGTTTGGCATTTAATATATTTATATTTAGCATTAAGATGTGAATAGTAGAATGTTAGAGCGAGATGTGACTTCAAAAGGTACTGAATCTTATATAAAGTGAGAATTGTCACAGTTGCTATTTGCAGACGAAACAGTGCTACGTGAAAATTCAGAAAAGTTGCAGAAATTGTTAAAGGATTTTGGAGGGCTGTGTAAAAGAAAAAATGAAAATGAACAAAGATTGTAGGTCAGATTAGAAGGAAGTCATATGGAAGAAGTGAGTGTCTTAAGAATCTTGGGTGTGTATGTCATCAGATGGGTCTGTGATAGAATGAGATAAATCACAGAGTGGGTGATGTATAGATAGTAGAAATGCTGAGGTATGCATGGGAAGAGAAAGATATCTGCAGTTTCAAAAAGCAAATGCAAATACATCATTGTATAGTGGTGCTGACACTTGTTTCAGTGTGAAACACAGTCTTTAAATGTTGCAGTGCAACAAGGAGATTAGAAATGTTTAAATTGTTTTGTCCAAAATCATTATATGGTGAATATTATGCAGAGAATAAGAAAATATGACCCAAAGAGTGGAAATGGGGGTTGTTTAGTTGGTTTGGTTGTGTAGAGAGAGAATTGAGCATATTAGGTTTATTAAGTGTTTAAATTTAGTTTTGATGGAAGGTGTAAGAGATATCTGAGGAAGGGTTGGAAGGATGGTGTGGTGGTGTTTACAAGGGCCTGAACTTCCAGCAGGCATGTGTGTGTGTGTTATATTGCAGGGGTGGCAAGTTCTTGGTTTTTCTTTTTTTGCAATTAATTTGCTGTGAGTGTGAGCATGGTAATATCTATGGATGAATTCAGGGGAATCAGCTAGCCAGTTTTGAAGGCAGGTTGGACATCACTGGATCATGATACTTCCACTCTTATGCAAAGTCACTTAGAGAGTGAGTTAAAAAAAATAAAAATTAAAAGTATTTGCTTTTTATTAGCCAAACAAATTCTAGTAGTAACACATTCGAGATGATTATATTTTGAATTTGATCTTATTAAAATGCAAATATAATTTAATACAATATACTGTAATGCTTAGACCCCTCAAGGAAGGTTCCTTGATGTTGGTGAGGGGCTCTTGATTTAGGGAATTGGATCTGTATTCCAGTTCCCCGAATTAAGCCTGGATGCCTTCCACATCCCCCCCCCAGGTGCTGTATAATCCTCCGGGTTTAGCGCTTCCCCTTTGATTATAATAATAATGTAATGCTTAGAAGAAAGCCACTAATTATGAAAATGCATTTTGGGCAAACTGATCATAAGGCTTACATACTGGCAAATGTATTGTCTTTGTGTCATCATACATTGGCGGGGAAGTGGCTAATGTCTAAATATAATACAGCACTTTCATGACTTCTCACATTATCATAGTTCCTTGATAATTTGAGAAGTCACGAAATCACTTGGAATTTCACTACTCTTTCACAGTGGTTGTTTTGCCTATTCATTTATATTCCTTTTCCTACCATGTAAGTGAATTTTCTTAATACAGTGGAAGAATGTATCATATTATGGCGATACGTATACAGTATAATATATATTAGTTTGATATTATGACTGTTTACAATCTCATACATAGTATGCACTTTAGCTACATGTGTTATGTGATCAAATATGTATTGTTCTCTCATTGTATCATTACTATAATAGGTGAAAAATTACAAATTGGACAAAAATAGTGATATTTAGTTACACAAATAACCCGCACATAAAAGAGAGAAGCTTACGACGACGTTTCGGTCTGACTTGGACCATTGACTAAGTCACACTAACCAGAAGTGGAGCAGGACGGCTATATATAGGCAGGAAGAGGTGGTGGTAGTAGTAGTAGTAGTAGTACAAGAATGGTATATAATACCGACAAGATGAAATTAAGACACATGTGCAACACCCGGGCATCCCTATCGTAGACGTTTCGACATCCAGCCAGCCACTGGATGGCGAAACGTCCACAACAAAGACAACACGGCGCCGCACATGTGTCTTAATTTCATCAGTAGTTGTAGTAGTAGTAGAAGAGGTAGTAGTAGTGGTAGTGGTAGAAGTGGGAAATAAGGAGGACGAGCCAGTCAAATACAAAGGAAGGGGTGGCCCGGTGGCCTGGTGGCTAAAGCTCCCGCTTCACACACAGAGGGCCCGGGTTCGATTCCCAGCGGGTGGAAACATTTCGAAACGTTTCCTTACACCTGTTGTACTGTTCACCTAGCAGCAAATAGGTACCTGGGTGTTAGTCGACTGGTGTGGGTCGCATCCTGGGGGACAAGATTGAGGAACCCAATGGAAATAAGTTAGACAGTCCTCGATGATGCACTGACTTTCTTGGGTTATCCTGGGTGGCTAACCCTCTGGGGTTAAAAATCCGAACGAAATCTTATCTTATCACTGCAAGAGAGCTAGGTGCTCACTGAGGGAGAGCAAGCGCACAGAGGTGCGTGAAAGGGGAAGTGGGAAATAAATGAAGAAGGAACAGAAACACGAGACAGAAGAGAGAAAGACAACCCAGAGGAGAAAAGGAAAGAGGAAAGGGGAAGAGGGAGAAGAAGAAAAAGAAAAAGAAAAAGCGAGGAGTTAGGTTAAGTCACGGGTGTTCTGAAATTTGGAGCATTTTACAATGTAGTGGGAGGGGAAGGCATCTACAGAGATGAAGCCAGGGCTAAGGTTCATACAAGGAAAGTTGTGTATTAGAGAGGATTCAACTAGACGGCGACTGTTCGAGTTGGAAGTAGAGAAGACAGTTTTAGCAGAAGACCAGTCAATAGGATGGCTATGATCTCTGACGTGACAGAAAAGAGCATTGTTAGTGTCGGCAAGCCTAACAAGCCGTCTAGTTGAATCCTCTCTAATACACAACTTTCCTTGTATGAACCTTAGCCCTGGCTTCATCTCTGTAGATGCCTTCCTCTCCCACTACATTGTAAAATGCTCGAAACTTCAGAACACCCGTGACTTAACCTAACTCCTCATTTTTTCTTTTTCTTTTTCTTCTTCTCCCTCTTCCCCTTTCCTCTTTCCTTTTCTCCTCTGGGTTGTCTTTCTTCTGTCTTATGTTTCTGTTCCTTCTTCATTTATTTCCCACTTCCCCTTTCATGCACCACTGTGCACTTGCTCTCCCTCAGTGGGCACCTAGCTCTCTTGCAGTGCTCCCCTTCCTTTGTATTTGACTGGCTCGTCCTCATTTCCCACTTCTACCACTACTACTACCTCTTCTACTACTACTACTACTGCTACAACAACTACTGATGAAATTAAGACATGTGCGGCGTCTGGTTGTCTTTGTTGTAGACGTTTCGCCATCCAGTGGCTGGCTGGATGGCGAAACGTCTACGATAGGGATGCCCGGGTGTTGCGCATGTGTCTTAATTTCATCTTGTCGGTATTATATACCATTCTTGTACTACTACTACTACTACTACTACTACTACTACTACCACCACCACCTCTTCCTGCCTATATATAGCCGTCCTGCTCCACTTCTGGTTAGTGTGACTTTGTCAATGGTCCAAGTCCGACCGAAACGTCGTCGTAAGCTTCTCTCTTTTATGTGCGGGTTATTTGTGTATCGTTCCAGTCACGGTATTGTGCCTTTTTTTGTTATTTATATTTAGTTACTTTATAATATTTTTCACTTCAATAACTTTGAGGTGTATATTTTTAGAAAAGGTTTTAAAATAAAATTGATTCCTATTTAAAACAAATTTTGAATGTGTCATAAATAGAAAAATTTATTTGCAAAGTATTTAATTTTTTTTTAAACATGCTGGCCATCTCCTACTGAGGCAGGGGCGACCCAAAAAAGAAACTCTTTCACCATCATTCACACCATCACTGTCTTGCCAGTGGCACATAGATATGAGTTCAGATGTCCCTCCAAACAGCAAATATCCCCATCCCTTCAGAGTGCAGCAACTGTACTTCCTACCTCCAGGACTCAAGTCTGGCTAATCGGGTAATCTGATTTGTGATGTCGGCACACTTCTGGCAAAACAGTGTTGAATGACTGATGGTAAATGTGTTTGCTTCTTTGGGTCACCCTACCATGGCTGGAAAACCACTGAGGTAACAATAAATATATATATATATATATATATATATATATACTATATAGCAACTAGGATAGGTGGGATTTTAACATCTCTTAAAATCAGTTGGGGATATAGTGTTAGAGTGGTTGGTGTATTTATTCATTATACACATGAAAGAAGAGAAGGTACCACACGATTACAGAGCATGTATAGTCCGCGGACTATGCATGCTCTCTGTATAAGGAAAAAAGTACAAAAAGAGAATGTATGAATTGCAGAGGGACAAGCCTGTTCAGTACAGTAAACAGTGTATAGTAGAATTATTATTGAAATGGTTATAAGTAAAGAGTTGGATTGAAGAGGAGCAGGAAGTTTTCAGATGGAAACACACAACTGACCAGTACTCAGATAAGGGTAAAGTGCTGTTGAGGGGGGGGGGGGGGGAAGTTGGCACAATTCTGGCAAGACAGTGATTGAATGAATGATAAATGCATTTCTTTCTTTGGTGGGGCACCAAGTGGAATCTAAATCCAGAGTGAAGAGCTGTACAGAATAAAGGAACATAGTCAGCATAAATGTAAGAAAGTAAAGGCAAACAATTTGTTCTGCTTCAAAGGATGGTGCCTTGAATCTGGTGAAGGGATTCTGATCCAGTGAATTGGTGTTATCCTTGTTGTGCATCAGATGTGATTGCATACTTCTCCTCTGGACCCTGTGCTTCTTCATGAATGTAATAATTCTCAGCAGACAGCCTCAATACATTTTGTAATATTTTATTACAGGTATCAGTTTTTCTTATTTTCTCATCCTTTTCTGCAGTGCTGTGTGTCCCATATGGGTTTAATGTTTAATATAATATTTCTTTTGCCACTCAAAGTTTTTGAAGGAACGAAAATAAAACAGTTATATGTGGAGTAGTTTAATGCTCTACATCCTAAATAATGAATACAATATAAAACAAGTGAAGATAGCTTGGTATGTGGATGGATAGAAATGCAGGCTAGTAGGTAGAAGCAAGATTATAGGTAGAGGTAGGACTGTAGGTAGGCAGAGCTGAGAGTAGAGGTAGGAATACAGGTTGGTAGAGGTATAGCAAATTACTCCACATTCAAGCACATACAAAAGCCTCTCAATAAATAAAAGCCAAAAAATGCTAACACTTAAATTTAACAGATGTGTGTTAGTTAAATATAGAGAGAATGTTTTAGGAAATGCAAGTAAGCATTCAAAGAGTTGTGTGGTTTAACAAGGTGCATGTTGCATTTGGCTGGTTTCTTGCAGTCTGTCAGTGTTCCTGTATAATAAACATTGTTGCTGTATAGTAAAAGTTTCTTCTGTACAGTAAATGAGGGCTATTGGCTATTTAGTTTTTCCTTTGGTTTAGAAAGACACGTAAGCAAACACTAACATATTTATTAGAAAACGTTTCGGTCCTGGAACCTTGATCACTTCTAACATACAGAGGTAGAAAGACATTATATATATAGGCGGAGAGTGAGATGTGACGCACGTGACCTGAGGAATGTCATAAGAACATAAGAATGGAGGAACACTGTAGAAGGCCTACTGGCCCATGCGAGGCGAGGGTAGACGATGAAATCACGTGACTCCTGTGTTGTTGGGTTGGTGCTGCTTAAGTATCAGGTATGCCAATGTTTTTGAAATTTTGTAGTTTCCAGTGTTGCGTTCTATAGTGTCGGTGACGGTGATTAGCGAGGCTTCTAGGCACCGTCGGCGTCTGAGGTCTGGTTCGGTGAGAACGAGTTGTGCCTCGTTCCAGGCACAACTCGTTCTCACCGAACCAGACCTCAGACGCCGACGGTGCCTAGAAGCCTCACTAATCACCGTCACCGACACTATAGAACGCAACACTGGAAACTACAAAATTTCAAAAACATTGGCATACCTGATACTTAAGCAGCACCAACCCAACAACACAGGAGTCACGTGATTTCATCGTCTACCCTCGCCTCGCATGGGCCAGTAGGCCTTCTACAGTGTTCCTCCATTCTTATGTTCTTATGACATTCCTCAGGTCACGTGCGTCACATCTCACTCTCCGCCTATATATATAATGTCTTTCTACCTCTGTATGTTAGAAGTGATCAAGGTTCCAGGACCGAAACGTTTTCTAATAAATATGTTATAGTGTTTGCTTACGTGTCTTTCTAAACCAACTTGTCGGTATTTATTACCAAGGTTTATACCAGTTTTTCCTTTCAACAAAATTAGGTAAACATTTTGTTATAGCTACTCAGATGTTGTACTCTTGTGCATCTATGTCTTCCATCTAAACCTTGTACAAAATTATTCTGTTTATTTTGAAAGTACCCATATATTACCTACTCACTTGCTTTAAGAGGGACACCCTGATACTGGTGAAGGGCTATTGATTTAAGAATTGGAGCTGCCCTCCCAAGTACTGCATAATTTCTATGATTTTACTAACAAATAGTGCAACAAATATGGTAGAGTTTGGAGTTAGCCTTTACTTATAATGCTCTGATTCATCTCTCCATGTGTAATGCCACATGAATTTTACAGGTTGAGCATTTTCCTTGAATATGATATTCAGACAACATTCACTCAATGTTTAGTGAAATGTGAGAATGAAGATGTACTCTGCATATAAACCCTTGCTTGCATGCTTAGCATTTTGCCATTAATACAGTAATGCAGTACATTGTAGGACTATAACATACTTCGTGTTATGCGTCCTCTTTAATTGGATTATACAACTCCAATTACATGAAAAAAACTGTCTTGCAGATTTTTACTTTACTAAAGAAATTAATTACATGGCTAAAGTCTCTTGTGATGTTTCTGAGGCTACCCAAAATATATTTTGGTATGCATATGCCCTAAAAACCTCATTGTTATCTGAAGTTCATTCCTTGCCCCTTTTTTACTCTTTTACAGTTATAATTTCTTATAATAGGTGGAGCTGTATGACCCATACAAGTGTTTGGTGCATGTAATAAATGAATTACTGTATCATTTTATGTTTTCACCCAAAACTCTTTGCATGTTTATCTAAAAATTCTGACATTTTAGGCTTGTTTGACTCAAAATAACAATACTTAATAGTATTTATTTTCATGTTAGTATAAGAATAATTTGTGTTGTTTCTGCTCAGGGAAGACAATAGGATCCCCAGGTGCTGGTTCAAAACCAGAGCGACTGCTGATCACAAACTCAGGTTCAGGAGGACCAATGTCTGCGCCCCCTGCAAAGCTAGTCTTGGCTGTTCCTTCAATGGCGATGTCAGCACAATTTCGGAACATGATCTTCTGAGGCTTGAATTCCTCTGCACCATCAGTAGTAGGCGAGGAGATAGTGGAAGCACCGTCGGCAGCAGAGATGAGGTCACGAGAATGGGGAAGAGTTAATTTTTATATTATGTTGTGTAAATAACAAAAGCCTGCTAGATCTAAGGACAGATTCTAAATACATGTAGTGTACTATACTGCCAATAATGTTGAAAAGATATAATTTACAGGACGAGCTTTTATTGAGACAACAATTCGTCCTTAAGAGCTTCATGAAGTCATTAGTATGACTAAAAAACTTTTTTTTATTAACATGTCGGCCGTTTCCCACCAAGGCAGTGTGCAAAAAATTTTCCAAATATTATTCTATTCAAGGATAGGTGATAAACCCATAGTGTTATACAGCTCATAGGTGATGGAATAATAGGAAACAATCAGGTTTGATCTAAGGAAGGCGAGACATCCAATTCCTTGAATCAAGAGGCCCTCACTCCTTAAGGGTGCTGATTAAAGACTATCCAAGGAATTGGAGCTACCTTCCATGGATCAAACTTATTCCACAGGCAGTGTATTGCTCCTCTTGGTTTAGTCCTACATTTGCCTGTGATTTACCCATGACTATAAATAATTAACCAGATTCACTCAGTAGTACTATGGAGTCTGCCTTACTACCACTTTATGGTCCATGAATATAATTTATTACTGTATATTGCACTCATTTTTAAGCAGTAAACACATATAGGTCATACCCAATGAGTATAATCCACTAGTTTTGTTCCTTTGTGATGTGACCTACCTGCTAAATTAGACATCTGAAGGACACACTGCTGACAGGAGACACCAGAGGGTAAGCGGAGCCTAATGTTAATTTGCTCAGGACTATTGTAGGGAGCTCTGATTGGCACAGAGCGAGACCTGCTGCCCACCACTTTCAGTGGGTACCTGAAGTGAGAAGAAGAGTATTTAAGAGGCAAGAGGCTAGAGTTGTTCCCTTAGGTTTAAACCATATCAAGCAAGTTAATGGGGCTTATGTTTATTGATTAAATACTACATGAGGGTCATTAAAACTGCCTGCAACTTTTTTTTTTTTTTTTTTTTTTAACAAGTCGGCCGTCTCCCACCGAGGCAGGGTGACCCAAAAAGAAAATCCCCAGAAAGAAAATACTTTCATCATTCAACACTCACCTCACTCACAACATAATCACTGTTTTTGCAGAGGTGCTCAGAATACAACAGTTTCTCCAATAATCAAGAATACTTTACTCCCTAAAATTGGGATTCATGTAAACTCTCAGTGACATATACATGTATACACAAATATATGCATAAATAATGTCATTAAACTAATTTCTCGTTTTAGTACCATCAGGAATACTTAATCCCTTAATGAATTAAAGCAAACTTGATGTACAGTACATGTATATACAACTGGAAAATGACACAGATGCAGTGGATACCTCCTAGTATATACACATTTCAGTGTACACAGTAGACTGTCATTTAATACAGCCGGGCTGTGGCTCGTACGTTGGTTTGCGTGCAGCCAGCAGCAACAGCCTGGTTGATCAGGCGCTGATCCACCAGGAGGCCTGGTCACAGACCGGGCCGCGGGGGCGTTGACCCCCGAAACTCTCTCCAGGTAAACTCCAGGTATAGCACTATTGAAGAATTGTGGCATACGTATTTTTGTACAACACTTTGTAAAATTAACTTAACACAGTTCAGTTTGTGGGAGGGGAAAAAATTTCGAGTGCTCATCACCAGTGTGATACACTGTTTGGCTGTGGATTAGACCACTGAGTCAATGGGAGAGACCTACCGTCTGCCACCCCCACCACCCTCTGCCACCCCCACCACCTTCTGCCACCCCCACCACCCTTGTTCCAGTCTTCAGTTCATACGCATGTAGTACATACCCTCCTCTGCTAGGAGTTTAGATCTTTTAAGTGCCATATTTATATCTGCCAAGCAATCATGGCTCCCCGTAGGCATACACGTGTTGCTGAAAGTGGCAAGAAAAGGTATAAGCATTTAAGTCTCAGAGTTAACGAAGAAGATAGAGATTCGTATTAGACAAGATAGCCTGTGGCCGTAATGAAGTGTCACTTTGTGCACATAAAAGGAACGAGGTAAATATGAGTGTGTGGTGACTGACTGGTTTACTGACTGACTTGACTGAATTACTGATTAATTTACTGACTTACTTAACTGACTGACTTAAAGTTAGATTAATTCACTGAAGAAGACCCTGAAATGGTGTCTAGAGCAGCTGATGCCTTATTGTCAGTTGTATAATGTACTGTGGGGTAAAATAGAACAGAAATGCATTACAGAATTTATGCACACTCCAGTACAATCATCGACTTCTGTACCAGAACTTCTACCATCCACCTCAGCCCAGTAGAGCCACAGCATAACTCCCCACTCTCCACAATCATCCACTAACACCAGCACCCACAATTTAGCCCGTAAACGGTCCAAGCAGATCTACGTTCACATGTGTAGTGCTACAAAAGTAGATCTACGTTTTTTTTTACATATTTTCAAATATAAAAAAAAAAATCAAAGTTTTTTTACAGACTGTTCAGCTGCCTCCCAGCACACGTAAGGGGGATTACCAACAGACCCCTGGCAGTCTTCAAGCTGGCACTGGACAAGCACCTAAAGTCAGTTCCTGATCAGCCGGGCTGTGGCTCGTACGTTGGTTTGCGTGCAGCCAGCAGCAACAGCCTGGTTGATCAGGCTCTGATCCACCAGGAGGCCTGGTCACAGACCGGGCCGCGGGGGCGTTGACCCCCGGAACTCTCTCCAGGTAAACTCCAGGTAAACATTTTCAAATGTAAAAAAAACAAAAAGATTACTTTTTTACATACTTTCAAGTGTTGAAAAAACATATATATGTTTGGACCGTTTACGGGTTAAGGTAAGAAATACACTATTATTTCTGTTGTATTTGTAATCTTAAGCAGTAAAAACAACATAACACGTGACAGTGAACTACAATTACATATTCACTTTTATTTTTGTAAGATCTGTTGGCCTAAAAAAAAGTTGTTTGGCATTTTGGGGGCCTCCCAGGAATGTAACCCTATTTTTCCCACAAGTTCTTCAGTTTGTCTAACACGGTTTTAACTAAAATGGGGTTTTCAGGAATGTAACTGTGTTAAATGATGGTCTACTGCATGTATGTGTATATATATATGCATGCAAAACAACCACTGTGAAAGAGTAGAGAAATTCCAAGCGCTTTGTGACTACTCACATTATCAAGAGAGTTTACCTGGAGAGAGTTCCAGGGGTCAACGCCCCCGTGGCCTGGTCTGTGACCAGGCCTCCTGGTGGATCAGAGCCTGATCAACCAGGCTGCTACTGCTGGCTGCACGCAATCCAACATACGAGCCACAGCCCGGCTGGTCAGGTACCGACTTTAGGTGCCTGTCCAGTGCCAGCTTGAAGACTGCCAGGGATCTATTGGTAATCCCCCTTATGTATGCTAGGAGGCAGTTGAACAGTCTCGGGTCCCTGACACTTATTGTATTGTCTCTTAACGTGCTAGTGACACCCCTGCTTTTCATTGAGGGGATGTTGCATCGTCTGCCAAGTCTTTTGCTTTCATTGTGAGTGATTTTCGTGTGCAAGTTCGGTACTAGTCCCTCTAGGATTTTCCAGGTGTATATAATCAGGTATCTCTCCCACCTGCGTTACAGGGAATACAGGTTCAGGAACTTTAAGCGCTCCCAGTAATTGAGGTGTTTTATCTCCGTTATGCGCGCTGTGAAGGTTCTCTGTACATTTTCTAGGTCAGCAATTTCACCTGCCTTGAAAGGTGCTGTTAGTGTGCAGCAATATTCCAGCCTAGATAGAACAAGCGACCTGAAGAGTGTCATCATGGGCTTGGCATCCCTAGTTTTGAAGGTTCTCATTATCCATCCTGTCATTTTTCTAGCAGCTGCAATTGAAAGCACTTGAAATTTCTCTATTCTTTCACAGTGGTTGTTTTGCATATTCTGAAATCACCTGTTTACTGTGATCTTATTGCATATATATGCATGTATATATTATATACATCTTTCTTTCAACACACTGGCTGTATCCCACCGAGGCGGGGTGGCCCAAAAGGAGAAACGAAAGTTTCTCCTTGTACATTTAGTAATATATACAGAAGGGGTTACTAGCCCCTTGCTCCCGGCATTTTAGTCGCCTCTTACAACACGCATGGCTTACGGAGGAAGAATTCTGTTCCACTTCCCCATGGAGAAAATAAATATATATATATATATAGGTGAGTACAGACAGACACAAGGCCCGAAGCTGAGTCTTGACCCCTGCAACCACAAAAAGGGGAGTACACACACACACAGCGGAGATGTTGTGTGTGCCACTAACCACAATTTTCAACATATCCCTTGAAACTGGGCAACTACCTGAGGCATGGAAGACGGTAAATGTAGCCCCCAGCTTTAAGAGGAGACAAATGAGGCAAACTATGCACCAAAGTGAAACAAATGCACCAAAGTGAATCCTATATGCAGCATCTGTGCAGATGCCCATGTATACAAGGACTGCCCTAACAGAAATAAACCCAAGTGTATCCTCTGTGGTGGGTCCCACCATGCTGTCTCACCTACTTGCCCTACCAGGAAAAACGAAGTCCGCAAAGCCCTTGAAAACAGAAAACTGACCAATGCCAAACAAAAGGCAGCTCACTCTCCTCCCCCAATGTCCCACGAATCTTACCCCAACCTGCCGAACTCCAGCAATGCTCTTACTGCCACTGCATCGCATCACAATGCCTGGATCCCCAGCCCCCCCAGGCCCCCCACCCAATCCATACTCCAGACCCCCACCAGCCCCAAGGGCCTACCTCCTACCCCATCCCCTCCGGCCTCATCCAAGAAGGGATAATAAAGAACACGGCATACTTCATGCTGGCTAAAGAATGGTCCAAGGACAACGACCACCTCTGCTGCACCATCCTTAATGAGCTGTTCATTGCAAATGGCACTTCAGCCATAATCATCCCCGACTCAGTGCGCCCATACATGAGCCCCACAACCCATACCCCCGCACACGACCAACCATCCACCTGCATGAAACCAACAACCCCTGCATCTGTACCACTAGCCGATGCACAACCAACCGCCACTGAGGCTGACCCAATGGACCAACCTGGTCCCACCGCCACCCCATGTGAGATATCCTCTGAACAAGACTTTTATCAAGACTTATCCAACCTTACTCAACCTCCAATGTCCCAAATGTCGACATCGTCGACAACCGATGAGACTGACGTCCCAACCATCCAAAACAACTCCGACCCTGATTTGCCCCACAGGCCTTACGACGATTCAGACGATTCAGACTCGTCTTCAGATACAACCGTCACCAACAGCACAGACGACGACCAATTCTCCACTCAGAAGTCCACGCAAGACTACAATCCCCCTCCCTCCCGCATTCCCAACACACAACCGCCACGAGACTGTGCCACCAAACACCCACCCGCTGTGCACAGCAACTCTGCCAAACGCGTACAATAATGGGGATCACAATTCTGCAAATCAACATCCATCACTTCTTCAACAACCGTTACCTCCTTGAACTCGAACTCTGCAACCACAACCCAGACATTATCCTCTTAAATGAAACATCAGCCAGACCTGACCAGCATATAAAGATACGTGGGTACTCAACTCTTGAGAAACCCAGGGGACCCAACAGTGGGGTGGCCATCTTAGTGAAGCAGGGGCATGAATTCCGCAACATACATGTCGATGAGGACAACGTCCTTGCAGTTGAAGTGCCAACATCACATGGGAGACTCCTAGTAATCACAGGGTACTTCCCTCCCAGACAACCATATATCGAATCCATTTCCTTACACCGACTTCTCAATAGAAATATCCCCACCGTCCTAGCTGGGGACTTCAATGCCCACCACC